TTAGGAGGGTGCAAAAGTACAACAGGACATTTAGTTTCAATTGAGGGTGTATATACAGTGACACAATTGAAAATTCCCTGAAACAATACTTGCACCCAGTAAATTGAGAAGCCCGAGGAGTGAATTTAACTACATCTTAAAATGTTAAAGAGTCAAAGAAGGGAGAACACATCACTTCTTCCGCATCAAGAATATTAATACTTCATTGCAGAAGATACATTCAAGTGCTTCCAAGAATTTTCTCATCAAAGATCTTAGAGGAGCGATTGCACACTTTCAATAAATAAAGACAACTACAAGATTGAGTAAAACTATGATCATACCGACACTTTCTCCAAGGTGCATGGATATCGAATTCAACTGCGCCTTGTTCTCGTACAACCGGTTCACAGTTCTTTTAGAATTCACAAGCTCTTTGGCTAGTGACTACAACAAAACGTAACACTGAAATATGAATAAGCAATAGAATATAAAATCATGAAATCAGAAGGCATAATAACTGATCCAGAATGCTGTAAAGACCTAACATATTCAACATAGACCAAAAAAAACTCTTTAATCCCAGAAATCAGAAAATAGAGCTTTCTCTATGACACAAACTGCCATGAAGAATGTTTGGATTTTAGATGAAGACCATGAAGAGAAAACAAACACCAGAAACAAAAGACGAAGTATTTTTCAAACACCTGGAACTCTTTCAAAAGACCCAAATGGAAATGAACTTCAGGTATGCACTTCTAGTCCTCGTGTATGATGCATCACATCGAGTCAATCACAAAATCACATATCAAGACTAAAACCAGAATTCAATACTCATCAAAATACATGTGAAATACTTTCTATTTTGGTGGTGTTCTGAAATGCTCCACTTATAATGTAATACTTTTTTTTTCTTTAATATATATATTTTTAACGTAATACTAAACAATATTAACATTCACAAATTTTAAGACTTCAAAGTCGTTTAACCATTAATTTAAAATTTTCTAACATCGAAAAATCAAACTTTATGCTACTATGTTAATACTTTCTTGAGTTATCACTAACTTAGTATACAATTCAAAATAGCATCTTAAGTTTTATGTCGATCAAACTCTACTGCATAACATGGGATGGAGCAGAAGAAAGGGGAATTTTGGCCCATGCTTCTCTTTATCATTTCACCAACTCTATTCTTAGGTCTGAGATAACAAAAGTTTGCAACATCTAGCTTTAATAATTTTCTTTGTCCAACTTTAGCTCAAGATTAACATTATCTGCATCGCAAAGAAGCAACAGCAAACATTACAACAACAACAACAAAAATTAGTAGTACGCTTCAATCTTAGGGAAGTTAGGGTTGGTATGAATCCTCATTGAATATGCCGCTCCAATTAAGCTAATCTAAATAGCAAACATCACAAATCCACAATACTAATGAATTTCAAGTTCTTCAGCAAATGCTAGAGATTACATTCATGATAAATGTATGAATAAGCAACTTTAAGGAAAAATAAAACACTAAATGAACACCACAAAAACATTATGGTAAACAGCCTTGCAATTTCAGACATCTTCCAAATATGAATGAACTTTCTGATCTTATTTGGACATTCCCCAGGAAGAAGGAGAGTAACATTGCTCTAGATAACAAACTACATAAAGACCCTCAAATTTTGTTAACCTGAAGGGAAACCAAGGAGCAAGGAAATAATAGCAACTACAAGATGAAATACTTTTGTGCATGTAGAACTCTTTAGAGATGATATTGAACTTTAAGATACACCAACTACAAATGTGATTCATGTAAATTCTCTCATTATGAATTGTAAAAGCATCACAAACAAAAATTAAAACCCATACTTCCACCTCACAACAACTGCCTTATTCCCGGAACAAAAGTTTTTCTCAAAGAGCATATGTAACAATAATTCTCAGTTGATATTCCGTATAGATTAATATCAAACCATTATGACTTATGAGGAAAAAAAAGCAATCATCAGCAGAAGACTAAGCCAAAAAAGCAAATGTATTTCATAGTGAAAAGTTCAACTATAGCAGTTCTAAATTACCTTGGCAGAACCCATGTCATTTCTCTTTGCAGCTTCTTTAATTGATTTCTGTACAATCTTCTCCTCTCTCTGTATATCTGATGAAACCCCAAAATTACATGAAACCAAACAAAATAAATCAAGACCCACCAACAATAATCATCAAACATTCGAATCACCCCAAAAGAAATATATAAGAAGGAAACCCTTTTCTTGCTTAACTTGAAAATTAAACAGAAACGTGGAAAAAAGGGAAAGAATTAGTTTTACCTCGAATTTGGCGTTCGATATTTCGGCACTCTTGTCGGAGGCGACGTTGCCAATCTCTCAAAAGCTGTTGAGGGTTCGGTTTCGGCTTCAATATCTTCTTCACTTTCTCCATTTCCCTTTCTCTCAGAGCTCTTCAAATCAAAGCACTCAATTGAAGATCGATGAGCAATAAATCCAATAGCGTGTTTCTCTCTAATTAACAGAATATTTTGATGCTGAGGATGGAAACTTTTCACCAAATTGACTTGGATGAGGAGTGAAAAAGATATATATGATCAGAAAGGCGCGTAGAAGACAAGCAGCAGCAGCTGTGAGATATGAAGTTTCCGTTCGTTATACTAGTTGATGAAAG